CATATGTACCTTTCAATCTTTTTCCCTTCAGTGGGAACCATATTAGGGTAGAGGGCCACCAGTCCGCTGAATCTGGCGGTATACGCAACAATGTTGGTGCCCTTCATGGTAAGGTTCCAAAGCTCCTGCTCTAGTTTCTGGATCTCGCCCCTCAGGCAGTATTCCTCAATCATGACGTCTTTCATCGTTTCCCAGCCTATGTCGTTGGCCACGACGAGAGTTAGAGCTTTAACGTGGCCGTTCCACCACATCAGGGCCTTTCCTTCAAAGGTGCATGCGGCATATTTGACTTTGCTCGCAGCAGGGCATGAACAAATTTCGAAGACTGATTCAGTCTTCTCGAACCATTGCGAGAGAGCAATGACTCCACCGGTCCCATGAAAGGACTTCGGCTTGCAGTTGGTGAAATCCTTGTAAGAGCACTCTCTCGAGCGCATAGGAGTTTCAACCGGAATAGAGTTTACAGGGGTTCCACCTCTGCTGGCATCAGTAGAGTGATATTGTGCCATGGCAGTTGCCATTGTTGCAGCTACGACAGCATTTAGGGCTGCTGTATCGATGACCGGAGGTGGAGGAGGCGGTGTAGGTGTAGGGTTATTCTGGGGAGATTTGCGAGGAGGCATCTTTCAGCTATAAGTTTATAAAGATGAGAAAGTGGTAAGAATCAATTTCTAAGTAAGGTGAGAGTGACACATGGACTAACTAACCATAGCCCAACAATTGAATGAGTGTTTGAGATCATAACAAGAAAGATTAGTAGGAAAACACAAGTGTAAAGATTCTTCCCATAGAGTAGGTAGTTGTCAATAATACTGGCATTACTGATGTAACGAGTTTAATGAAAATTGACCTAACAGTAGGTCTTAAATCATACCATACGGAAAGTTTGACAGCTCTTAGATTCCTAATTATAGTATTGAAAGTTAGGAATATTTTACAGATAAGTGCTACTTAGAGCACAGATGTTAAAGGCTAATCCTTAACCCAAAAGATAATGATGTACCAGACATCATCTAACGGCGATAAGTATTCCTCGGGAGAACCCTGAGGTCTCTCATTTGGCAGACCACCTCTTGAAAGTGTCGCTCATGAGCCCTTTGACGAGCTCGAAGTTCCATGACTTCTGCTTGAGAGGCAACCAGATGTTGCTATAGGGTTTCATTGGTTCTTCGGGTCCGTTCCATGTCTTCTTCGAGACGGCGAATGCGGACTATGTTGACACCAGAGTTGGCGTCAATCTCCACGACCCGGTCGATGGCTGCTCGACCTTGCTCAACATTACGAGCAATTCTGCGGATTATGACGGGAAAAGCTCGGTCAGCAGAACCACCTTCGTTGACGTTGTAAAAGCTTCAGTCCCCAATGTATGGAAAGGATTGACCCTGTTTGTCACTCCAGCGATTCAAGTTATCTACCCACAAGGGAGTGGGACCTGGAAAAGTTGGTCGAGTGTTGTTGTTCGGGGTTGACCTACTGGAGGTAGGTTGTTGACTTCGGGTTCAGAGTCTGATCCATCCGAGAAGCCTTCAGCTTGATGATCATCCAACGGAATTTGGTGCTCATCATCAGACTCCGCTTCGAGCCATCCTGCGTTGCCTCCATTTGGAAAGTACGGGTCGCCGTGATGGAATCCAGCCATTTAAATCTACGCGAGAAGAGAGGTATAAGGATATAGTATATATGTAGTTAGTAGTACAAAATACACCTATAGTACTTTTATGTTTAGGTTCTACTCATCTTCTTGTGGTATTGTTGGTAAGTTTTTAGACTTGTTAACACATCACAACCATTCTAGGGCATATGCTAATCACTCCTCGGACCAGCATAGTTGATCAGGCTATGCCATTCCCAGGACTGACCATACATCCCCTAGCTTACCTGTGATACTTAACAATCGTAATACTTTTGTTCCTGTCATTGTGACACTGATTTTAGTATGAATGCAGACTAGTATACTTAATTAAGTATATTAATATTTAAAGTATAGACTCTTGGTCAGAGTGTTTTAATCCCAAATGGGTTTATAGTTTAGTATATCTTTTATGGGTTGATATACTTGATTCACTATAAACAATGCAAACAACATCATCCATTGCATTAAATATATAATTTTAATACAAGCGTGTTCTGTACAGTATAGACACCAAAATAATGTATATCAAAATAATAAGATGAGTCTTGGATGCGCTCCATCTTCTCAAAAGCTGGCCTCGGTACCTGTCTACTATGACCTGAGAATACAAGTTATTTTGAAAGAGTTTATCAACATTAAGCTGGTGAGTTCATAAGTATTTTAGTGTCGGTATTTGTCATCCAAAAATGTTTGAACATGTATCAAGTATAAGTTTGTAAAATGTATGCAAAGGTTTGTAAGTGTTTGTAAAAGTTTGAATCTCTCAGAAAAACCTATATTTTCTATTAAAGTAGCCTTCTACCAAGGCGTAACTGTTTTGTATGCTCGTCTGTTGTAAAAGTGTGTAATTTCCCAAGTATAACTATCATTTAACAAAATATAGTTTGTACATTAATGTTTAAGTGAGGTTGTCACTAAAATATGTAATGGGTAAATCATTGTAGTACTGTAGTTTTGTATTATAGGATCTACTGCTGTACTAACTACCTTAAACCGGATTTATATTAAGGCATCATGTGATAAATTGCACCATACTATCGACTGGTAACAACGACATATGAATGGTAGTAATAACGGATTGACGTTTGGCACCCACAGACCTGCAGGTCCGGCTATAGCTAGCATCAAGGTGTAGGATAGTCAATCCGTATAGATCTATACGCAAACTCATGCTCTCCCTCCAAGAGAATTCTGGCTACAACTCGGGCCATGACAATTAAGGCATGCTCCGATACAGTGGATCACAATTGTTAACGTATTCTTGTATATGTAACGAAATGAACTGTTCTAGTATAGTTGTATATGTTCTTCCTCTAGTATAGTTGTATATGTTCTCTTTCTAGTATAGTTGTATATGTTCTCTTTCTAGTATGTTGTATATGTTTTCTTCTAGTATAGTTGTATAAGTACTCGTAGTAATAAGTATTAACTCATGAATGAACTGACTTATTTATCTAGAAATTGTACTAATATGATCCTATGTTACCCCGATGGTAACTTACTGATGATGTACTGATAAGTATGAATATGGAAGTACTTTTATGTCTATACATGTATATTTGATATATAATTAATATTGAAACGACCTTCGGACGGTTACCCGAAATCCCACCAGACCACATCTCAATGCGCGAAAAGGAAATAGGGTGGATAGCCTTCGTTAGCCCTTTAAACATTTCTTATATATCTATACATATATGGGCATGCAATTTATAAGAAGTAAAACAAAGTTTAATAAGAGCATTTGATAAGTAAAAGAGTTTGTAAAACATTTTGAAGTAAAACAGTTTGATAAACAGTTTGAACAGTGATAAAATCATTGGTTTTCTAGTTATTAATCACATGTGATTAATGTAATCACATGTGATTGATGTAATAGTTGTAAGTGTTTAACTTGTATCTCCCCCCCATAAAGTATTTAAAACATTTAAAAGCATTTCAAAGGTTAAATTAAGGGGTATGAACTCACTTGTGGTGAGTGGATTGGATTGAAGTATCGGGTACCGTGCTAGGTGGAAAACGGAGACTTGTTCATAGCACGAGCCTAGTTATCATATAATGAGCATATATATAACTAATTAGTTAATTAATAACTTAATGAAATAATTTGGGACACTTAGGAACATGTAAACACTTTGTATAAGTGTTATAGGTCCTAATGGTTGCATCTATGTTGATATGGGACAAGGTAAAAGGGTTGAAAAGCTTCCAAGGACCTTGTATAAGAGTTTACCACCCAACAAAGCCCACCCTTGGAGTTTACGGTCATAAACTCCTTGAGTTTACGGCCGTGAACTCCACTATTGGTGGTTTTGGGTGTTTTAAGGTGCTAAATGAATCCTAAAATAAGCCTAGCATTGGTAGATTAATCCTTGAAGTAGTTTAAGGCCCTAGAATGCTCCTTTGAGGAGTTTACAGCCAAAGACCATATCCCCTAGAGTTTACGGCCGTAAACTCCTATGGGGTGTTTGTTTTAATTCGTTTAGGCCTCTTGCACAAGTAGGATAACTTCTAGGTTTTTGTTTAAGGCTAAAGGGACTTTAGGCACACTTTTGTGCCTTTACTTGGAGTTTACGGCCCAAGAGTATTTCTTGGCTGTAAATTCCCTTTTTGGGATGATTTTGATGTGTTTTACTCCCCTTCCAAGTCACAAGTAATAGAGAGTTAAAGTCTAAAGCCTTAGGGGTGATTTAGGGCACATTTTGTCCCTTGAAATTGGAGTTTACGGCCTAAGACTTTCTTGGGCCGTGAACTCCTTAAACTATGTGTTCTTGATTGTGTTCTAGCCTCTAATGACTCTACATAAAGTCCTTGACTAGTTGCATAACAAGAAATTGGGACTAGGTAGCCTTAAAGCTCCATTTTGGAGTTTACTCCCCAAGAACGTTCTTGGGTGGTAAACTCCCGGATCTTGTATTTTTGACATGTAAACAATCTCATAAAGAATATAACAAGCATTAAAACACATTTAGGAAAGTAGACTCACGATTTGGGATGAAAACCCAAAGATCCGTGAGAGAGAAAGTGGCTTTTCTCTAGTTGAAAATGTGAATAATGAATGAATTTAGTTCAGAAATCTATTTATAGTCCTGAAATATTTTGACAGAAAATATTTTTATCCCGGAAATGATTTCTAATATATCCGAGTGTTGGAATAACAGTATTGCACAAAACCGTAGCGCAACCACTCTCCTAATGTTTACTAAAGTGTAAACCCTAAATTACTCCAACTTATACGAAAAGTCTGAAAATCGACTATGACTGTTATAACTTCTATTGAAGTGATACTGTTTGTACATAATGGAAATTCCAGTTTGTCATAGATTAACACCAAGACCTTTTCTCAACTTCTAAGTTCCATCACGTGATGACTGTAAATGAGGTTAATTTGAAGACTTTGCTTTCAGAAAGAAAAAGATTGTTCGAAGAGCATGAGAAGTTGGTGACTGCGACAAACTCAAATATGGAAGCCTCTTTGAATGAGGTCAAGGAGTTTAAAAGTTTTCTTCTAACTGATAATACAATTCACAATTCAAAGTTCATTGACACGGTTAATAATTTGGCTTCGCATTATGATATTGAAGCCAAAATGGAAGATATCATTGCGAGCAAAGTTGCAAAGTTCACTTTGCTCAAGGATGAGTTAATGATTGTGAAGACTAAACTAATCAAGAAGGATAATGAATTACTAATTGTTAAGGGAAAAACTTTTGAAATCAATAAAAGTCTTGTAAAGATTGTTGAGGAAAAGGATGCTCCATATGTTGACTATATTTCACAAATTTTGGATGCGACCTTCAATTCTTATTTTCAAAGTTATCACTTATTGATGGTGTTCTAAGTAGCGGTTCTACTTCACAACAAGGGGGGATGGGGGTAGAGTGAACATTAATATTGTGAATCCTGATGTTGTTTTGAATATGGAGAAGAAGCCTAAGATGGGAAGAAAGATTGTTATTGGAGATCAGCCATTGAAAATGTGATTGGAAGGAATCACTATAGAAATTCCAAATGTTGCTTGATGATGTGGTACTATAAAGATTGTATCTCAATCAGAAGTTGATCCTAGCGATGTAGAAGCTCAAGAAAAGAGAGATGAAGAGTTTGAAAAGTTGAAACAAATTGATATTTAATTGGATCAACAAGAGGCAAAGAAAAAAAAGAGGTTGTTGATGCAAGTTTGAAGGCATTATGGCATGAATGGATTGTTAACAGAATTCTGAATGAATTCATCAAGAATTTTGAGAAATAATGTCTTAATTCAAGGTCTTCTTTTTTTGTGAAGAACAAGAATCACTTCCAATTAGATTCCCTATGATTGTGAAGGCTTTCGTGTTCAGAGCTTTCCAAACATTGTTGGTGTTTCCTTGGAAATATTACCTTAATTAAGAAGCACTTCTAGTTTTATGTTTCATATGTAGTCCTCAAAATTAAATGTAGAGTTTATATAAGATTACTGTTATTCAAGAATGTGAAGTTGTGGAGGTTAAAAATGGATTTTTGAATTACAAATTCAAAGCTTTGCGAGGAAGCAACAATGAAGAATTCTTATTCACCTTTGTTGATTTACCTTTGATGAATACACATAATTCTTGTGTTCAATATTTTTTTAAAAGACCAGTCAAGCATGCAACTCACCTTCTATAATTGAGAAGGATGATAGTTATATTTAGAGAAAGCCTTGGGGAGTTTTTTTATAAAACTCATGAGAACATAGTTGTGAAGAACTGCATGGAGTTTTTTGCAAGATAAACATTGCTACAAGTTTGGAACGTTAAGTGGGATTCTTATGAAATCTAAGATGTGAAAGATGGATTCCAAGAATGACATCAAATGTGTTTCAAATATTTTGTGATGGTAGATGACAGTTCATACTGTAATTCTTAGCATAGTGTCACACCCCCGACCAGCGGTGGAAACGTCGGGGTGCATAATGTAAACATGAATCAAAGCTTATTGAGCATACAATTGAACAAAACAAAAGTAACAACATAAGAAAATACATAACTATAATACAATAAGTGATGTTTACATCATTAGTGATTCAAAGTACTTCACGGATTAAATGTTCGATATAATATAAAAGCAATATAGCACAACCGCCATAACAGATAGGTAGGTACCAAAAAAGCAAGGAAATAAGAATGATAACAAGTGTTCCATGTGTCTGTGCTTCTAGCTCTAGGTTCCTGAGAATACACATGTTTTAAAGATACGTCAACAAAAATTGTTGGTGAGTTCCATAGGTTTTTGACACCGTGTACTTTTATAACCAAAAGTAAGTTTATATAATTGTGATTGGATATCCAGTTTATATAAACGTGTACTTTTCTAACTAACAAGTATAAGATCTGAGGAAAATAAGTACTTACCTTACTTATGTGGATCTGTACCGGTAACCCAGTACAAGTGTGTGTGTGTGTGTGTATTGTATAATTTCTGCCTGACTGAAGTAAATTTCAAGTTTGTAACCTCATACAAGTCTCCATGTTTATTGTTTATAATTTATTGTATAAAAATTAACAAGTTTTATAATAACAATTGTCTTCATGATTCGTATAAGAGTAAATTACACGAATATTCCCTATGGTTTAGGGTAAATTTCACGTTTGATCCCTAACTTACTTTTTTAACTCGGAAGGTCCCTACTATTTATTTTTGATACACGCTTGGTCCAGTCTTAACAAAAAAGACTTTATTTAAATAGGGAAAATGGTGGGGCATGTAAGGTAAGGTGATGGGGTGGGGTTGGGAGGGTGGTTATTTAAATAAATTAAAAAATCTAGGATAAAATACTCTTTTTAGGTAAAAATAAGGAGTAATCGCGTAACAAAAACAAACAGTAGGGACCTTCCCAGTTAAAAAAATAAGTTAGGAACCAAACGCATAAATTACCCTAAACCATAGGAACCATTCGTGTAATGTACTCTTCGTATAACTATATAAGTAATTATCTAACACTTATCTATCGTTATAGTTCATGATCGGGCTACATACAGTCCTATTTAAAATCGTACGAGTGCTTTTAGATTGGATGTTGGGGGCTATGATAAGTCTATAACTAAGCTATTTAACGAGATTCAACATCTGTAGGGTGCTATAAGTGGCGTGCCGAGAATATCACATCAACGCTTCATCAACATTGTGAACAAGCTCAAGAATGGAAGTTATCGCCTGATATGTCCCTTCGAGAAAGGGTTGTAGCTAGCAACCACAAGTAGGGATGTCAAACCGTATAGATCAAAACAAAACATCCATCGCTCCTTTAAGATTAACGGTTATATCAAAAAGGCTTTATTAAGTTTTTGTGCTCAGATGATGAAGATAAACTCATATAGAAATCCCAATTTCAACATATCTAAAAGTGTGCAGTTTAGTGTCCAAAACTTTGAGTGATAAAGTTTCTAGACTAGTTGTTTGTTTGTTCAGTTCAAACTATTTTATAAGTGTGTGATTGTGTGTCCTAAACTTGAACTTGTATAGTTTACTAGTTTTATTGTTCATTATTCGTCTAAAACTATATTTTAATTTTCTAACGATATTTGGGATATTTGGGTAGCATAGCGGTTGTATTTTGACCAGATCCTGGTTTTAGAGATTGTAAAACCAATAATTGCAAGTAGGCTTCCACTTAATCGTTTTTCGTTTCCAGAAAAACCAACAATTCCAAATAAATGTACAAGTTCAAATAATTGTATGATTTCCATTTTTGGCTCAATTTATAAGGAGACGACAACTAGCAACAAATATATTTATAAACTAATAAAAAAAAGTTTCAACCTTTGTAATTATATTAAATTCATACTCGTAGTTAATTAAAACCCAAAATATGATATTAAGTTAATATGGTTCAAAACATATATATTTAGTTTTAAAACGTCCATTTTAACATCCTGAAACATATAACAAAAATATAACATTATATAAACCATCAACCTAATGTTTATGATGTTTATATGAACATAATAAGGAGTTGTGCATGTATTATCACCTGAAAATATAAAAAGTTTAAAAGGGGCCATAGAAATCACTTTTGAAGTCGGCGGACAACCTTTTGGACAAACCGAAACCGTAGGCTTGCAGATTGGGTTGATAGGCATCTGAAAAAAGTTGTTTTACAACAGATTGGGACTGTCGGAAAGTGGCCAAAAGTTCATCGGAGCTCCGCCGTCGGCGAAAGCACGTAGGCTTCCAATGAACTCCTTCATCGACTTTTGCATATCGGAAGAAACTAGCCTTTATTGAAGCAGCAAGGCGGACCAGGGGGCGGACGCAGAAATATGTAGGAGTAGGTGCACCAAAATAAGTTTCGAGCAAATGTAATAATGTTAAAAAAATTACGAGTGTATTAAATATAACAAACTAGTGTAGACAAACTTTTTGAAGGACAAACTGGTCATTTCATTGGCATGTTGTTGGCCTTGTGGGAGTTTATTTCCGTGTTGCTACCATCATCACAAAATGTTGCTTGCCTAAGATACTATAAAAGCTACGAATGCAAAATAACTCAACATATTCCATTGTTTAGAGCAAAATATAATACACAAATGTCAACTAATTAATGCATTTTTATCAATTCAATATTTTTTTTTCTTGACAGAACAAACAAATCAAATCAATTCAAAATGTAGAATGAAACATAAATGGAGTTGAACAACTTAATGATGTAATTGTGAAGAAAATCCATTGTTTAGTTTGAAACAAATGTAATGCATCCATGTATATGTGTAACTCATATATGGAAGAAAATTTAAAAGATAGGACCTAAAAGATAGGACCCGGCTACATGAGACTAAGGTAATTACTTTACATATATTTGATTTTGTTGGCTATAAAATTTTTGGAGCCCAATAACCAAAGGTGCATTAAAAGGAAAATTGAAGGTAAAATTAATATAGAAAATTGTTTTAATCAAGAATTGAACTCGAGCACTCATTAAAAAAAGAAGCTTAACTTGCGCCCTTTAACCAACTCCACAACCACAACTGTTGATCAAAACTTTTAAACTAGGATGCTAATATTAAGTACTTTTATGGGTGCACATTTATATAATAATATTAAACTTTTTTATACTATTACAAAAAAAATGAGTAGTTGCATTTGCAACCCCATGCACCACTATAGATCCGCCCATTATGAGGGGTGGCTCAAGGTGGTGTTACGGTGTCGGAGGCGGTGGTTCTCGGTGGTCTGGCCTACGTAATTATGCACATAGAGAGAGAGAGAGAGAGAGAGAGAGAGAGAGAGAGTATAGAAATGGGGTGAGGAGAGGGGATAGACGAGGGGATTTTATAGGAGAGGGAAACTCACTTGATCCTTTCTATGTTTGACACTTGTTTAGTTCTCATGGTTCCAAGTGTCACCATTTGGGTTGTGACATGTGGCGTCTCTTCAAACCGCATGTCAATCTCGACTAAAAGTGTTTTCGTGTAATTTTTTCAAACATGCCTGTCAAATGTCCCCGAATGTGTTGATTCCAAATGTTGATCAAAAATGTCTAACTGGTAGACGATACTAGGTTAAAAATGCGTTCAAAGTTTCGAATTAATTATTTTTATAAATTTTAGTCTGACAGTTTTCGCGAAAGTGACTTAACTTCGCGTCAAAAATATTTCGAAAGCGAAATCAAATATTATGACATAGTCTGAGTTTAAAAACATTCTCAAAAACAATTAACAAAATATGCAACTATCCCAACGAATCAATATAGTATTCGTCTCCAAGAAAATCAGTTATATTATCAATTTGTTTTCTTAAAAAGGACAGATCTGTTGCATACGCATCTCCACTTTCAAAACTCTTTATATCCACGAAATCATGATAACATGCACTATCTATCGA